GCAGAAAGAGGGTAAGCCTGTTCTCCCCCTTAATTTCTAAGCTGACTTCAAAATGCAAAGGGTGGCAGAATAAGCACTTGTCCCAAGGGGGCAAGGCAGTACTAATCAGATCTGTGTTGCAGGGTATTCCTACTCATGCTTTCTATGCAGTTGATCCTCCAAAGACAGTGATAACAAAGCTGGAAGCCATTATGGAAGATTTCTTTTGGGGAAAATTTGAGGGGCAAAACAAGTACCATTGGAGTTCTTGGGCTAATCTAGCAAAGCTAGTTGAGGAGGGAGGGGTGGGATTTACAAGTTTGAAGTTAATTGCAGAAACAGTTGGGGCTAAGCTGTGGTGGAACTTCAGAACAAAGGAGTCACTGTGTGAGGAGTTCCTGAGAGCAAAGTATTGTATGAGAACCCATCCTGTGTGCATATCCTGGCAGAGTATGGGGACTCACACATTTGGAGAAGGATGTTGGAGGCAAGAGATAAAATGGAAAAGGAAATAATTTGGGAGGTGGGAAGGGGTGAACTGAACATGTGGTGGGACAACTAGACTGGAAGGGGAGCTGTGGCCTTTCTCTATAATGTGAGAGGAAAGTCCCAGTCCAAGCAAATGCTGAGTGACCTCTGGGAAGGGGGAAGATGGAAGATGGACGCAATTAATGGTCAAATGCAAACAGACCTGACTGGAATAAGGCTAAGGCAGGAGGTGAAGGACAGGGCAAAATGGAAACCTTCCAGTGATGGAGAATTCTCTCTAGCATCAGCAAAAAAAATGTTAGGGAGGCATAATGTTGAGCAGAACGAGAGAAGGCAATTTTGGTATAAGAAAATATGGGCTAAGTACATTCTATGGAAGGCTTCATTTCTAACTTGGAGGGTCTTTAAAGGAAAAATCCCCACAGATGACAAGATGATGACGTTTGGTTATCAGATGGCATCAAAATGCTCTTGCTATGTTTTGCCTGGAGGAGGTGATCTGCAACATGTGTTCTGTAGTGGTGAAACAGCTAGAGGAGTGTGGTCATATTTTGCAAAATATCTGGGATTGGGGTTACATATTAGGGGGATAAGACAAATATGTTATGATTGGTGGAGTAGAAAAAACTAAAAACAGGTTAGTCCAATTCTTAGTTGAGGGGCTGCCTGTCATCATAATTTGGGAACTATGGGTACACTTGAATCAGTGCAAGTATGGCAGTGAGAGACCATCTGCTACTAGAGTCATCTTCAAGGTGGCAAGAGAAATGGCTGATTGTATCATGAGAAGATGGCCTGCATGGGAACCTTTCCTCCTAAACTGGAAGCATATTCTGAAGAAGGTTGAGGGCTTTGGGTGTTCTAGAATTGTTATGAGATGGAACAAACCCCCAAGAGGCTGGATTAAAATCAACATTGCTATAGAGGTGGGGGGGGGGGGGGGGGGGGGGGGGGCGGGGGCTGCAGTTTTTTCATCAGAAATGTTCAGGGGGAGTTTGTGCTGGCTAGAGTGTACTCAGGTACTGGAAATATCATGGAACAGGAGATCAGCGACTGTTGGGAGTGGTGTAGAATCAAGAAAACATATCAAGTGCAGGTTGAAACCAGTAAAATGTGGGTCTCTGATGTGCCAGAACCTGCAGACTTGAAGAACAAATGGCTGATGTGTGATCCCATGGTTAACTGTATTGATCAAAGTTTGCTAAGGAGGTGCAGGGTCTAAATGTGATCTTTGCAAAGCCATCTGCTCTCCCAAGGAACTTTGCTCTTATCTTGGCTCTAGAAGGCTTCCCCCATTTCACCATTTTGCCTGGGGTTGACATGGTGCAGGCTCTCAGCTCATCCAACAGGGTCTAGGACCCTGGTGTTTATATTCCTGCTGGTCTTGAGGAGGATGCTGGCAGTTGGAGGCATCTGAGGGTTTTACAACTATACTGTGGCTGCTGCAATAGAGCAGTTGTCCCAGGCCCTAAAAGTAGAAGTGCAAAGCATATGGGAATGTGTTTAGCAGTAGCCTGATGAAGATAATTGTTGTATCTGAGGGTTTTTGTGCTTGCCTAAGGAAGGTACTTGCTGCACTTAAGGGCTGGTCCTTTATGCTTTCCTGAGAAGGGTGCTTGCTACACCTGACGGGCTTCTTTGTTGTTGATTTATGTTGTCTTGCTTAGTGTTGTGACTGTGCAGTAGGTTGTTAGCCAGATCTGGAAAGAGGTGACCTAATCTAAGGCTAAGGGATTAAGAAGCAAGTCATTCTGGCTTTGGTTTCAAATGAGCAGGCTGCTAAAGATGTTTCTTATTCCCTGACCCCTTAAACATTGCTGATCATGTTGGGTTGGTGAAGGTCTAGATGTGGTGATCCTCCCTCTATACCAGAAATGGCAAGGCTTTGAGGGGCTGATTGGTGGCTGGGCTAGGTACGATGAATGGAAGGGAAAAGAATTTTGGAAAAAAAGAGAAAGAAATGGAATGGAAAGTATGAATGGGAAAATGGGAATGAAAATGAAAAAGAAGAGATGAATGAAATTGAAAAAAAAAGAAGAAGAATAGAAAGGAAAAAATGGAATTTTGCAAAGGTGGGAAGGTTGGTGGTGCCTTGGCCCATTGCTCTAGTGCGGGGCACAAAAAGACTTACCCGGTAAAATGCAGAGCTTTGCACGAGCTTTGTCTGCCTTGGCCTCGAGGGTGGGCTCTCTTGTCATATTGCTCTTGGCTTAAGTATAAAGGGTCCTTCGTAAAACCACTTTGTAGTGGCAGGTGGACTTTCTTTTGCATTGAGGGTATTGCCTATTGCTTAGGTCGGGGACAAAATGGGTGCCCCTGCAAAAATGTAGAGCTCTACATGGGGGTATCCATCCTTATTGGCCTAAGGGTAGGGGTGAGGGATCACGGGTTAACCCCCTAGGGGCATTGGCATTTGTGTGTATAGAGGGAGGACCACAAGGGCTTGAGGATGCTACGGAGGAACATGATCACCACGGTTGGGGAATTTCGAGCATCTTTGTCAACATGCACATATGAAACCAAGGCTCCAATGATTGTACTTATTAACCCATTTGCCTAAGATTGACGTCACCAAGTTGTTTGATTGTTGGCTAGTAATGGGTTTTGCATGGTTCATTGCACAAAGACAAGGCAACATGTTTGGTCACTTGTAAGGCAATTGCCCCTTTCTTTTGATGGTTACTTTTGGACCACTAGTGTAAAACATTTTGTTTTGGCAATATAATTTCAAGCTTTTACAAAAAGAAAAAAAAAACAAAAACAACAAATTCAATATTCAATAATCATTGGACATTATCGTATTCGCGCAATGCGCATGAAAAACTAGTTATTAATAATACGAGTTAGTGAGCCAACTTGTAACAAATAGATCAATACTATCACGCACGCGCACAAAAAAAAAGAGGAAAATGTTATTTACCCCTCCTAAATTTTGGCAAATTATACCATGGATCAGGGTTTATGTACCTTGCATTGTAGATCCTAGTCCAAAAATAACTTTAAGATTCTGTATCTATAGTTGACACATTTTGTACTTGCAGTTGATAGTTTCTGTACCTGTAGCTATCTATTATGTGTCAACATCTGTATCTATAATTGAAACATTTGTACCTGTACTTGATAGTTTCTATACTTGTAGCTATCATATTATATGTCAGCAATTATCAAGTTAATTGTTTACATGTACATAAACTATTAACTGTAGATACAAAATGTGTTAACTAAAGGTACATAATTTTTGTATTAGGGTTCACAATGTAATATGATCCCTGGTCTATAGTATAACAATTGCATTTTGTACTTGCAATTGATAGTTTCTGTACCTGTAACTATCATATTATGTGTCAACAATTATCAAGTTATTTATTTACATGTACAAAAATTGTTAACTATAGGTACAAAATGTGTTAACTAAATGTACATAATTTTTCTATCACCATTCACAATGCGATATGAACTCTAGTCCATAGTAAGACAATTGCAAAATTTTCCTTAATAATTTTCTCCCATGATCTGGCTTATATTTATTGGGTGTCATGAATTGTGGAAAATTTTACTTTGGAGCATGGTCCAAAACGATGTTATTTCTTTTAATGAAAGGAAACGACACCCGTTTCGTGTAATTAGTTATGTTTGTATAACATATTTAGTTTCATTTTATATACATTGTACTTTTATTTCAACACAACTAAAGTTTCATTTTGTTTCAGCTACATTCATTCGACATTATACATACAATAATCTTATTACAATGAGACATATATATTATTGAATTTCATTTTATATTCAATGTAGTCTTATTACAAAAACACTAAATTATAATTCTAATTCAATTACTATTTCATTGGACAATATACAATTAAATATGTGAAACTGTTATTCAACTTCATTTCATATACACTGTAGTTTCATTACAACACAACTAAAGTATCATTTTCATATAACTATAGTTTCATTATTTGACAATATAAACTCAATATGTGAGACATGTTATTCAGTTTCTTTTTATACATAGTGTAGTTTTATTTCAACAAAACTAAAGTATCATTTCAATTCAAGTAGACTTCTATTTGACAATATACACTCAATATGTGAGACACTTATTCAATTTTATTTTATACATTATACATACCGCAATTTCATTTCAGCACTAAAGTATCATTTCAATTCAATGCAATTTCATTTGAAAATATAAACACAATATGCGAGACAAGTTATTCCGTTTCATTTTAGATATATTATATTTTTATTTTGTTATAAACACAAAAAAAATACGGGATTTGTTGACATTTAACGGCGGCCATTTCTTTACTTAAAGAAACGACGCCGTTTTCGGACCATGATCCACACAGCTGTGTGGAGCATGGTGCACGGTATAATAATCGGTGAATTGGTTAACCCTACACACTTTTAATTAAATACTAATTAGTTCAATTAGATATTACCACATAGGAGGGAAATTAGGAGCAAAGTTTGTAGGAGGGATGCCCAAGCATTACTCAAAAATAAAACAAAATTGAAAAGAGGATTACCCGTTTGTCATGGTTTGCAAATCCCATCCGGACAAATCAGCAACAGTAGTGAGTGCAACTTTCCATTCATAAACTTTTTGATCATCAAATCGTTGTCGATGTTGAGCCAATGCCTTGCCAAATTCGCCTATTTGTTTACGAACCTCTGAAGGATCAACGTTGTAGAATATAGGTATAACCATCTGTTGAAAATTTTTCTTACAATCTAGAATCTTCACCAGTTCATCAAGGCACCATCTAGATTGGGCATAAGTTTTGGAAAATACGATGATGGATATCTTGGACCCCTCGATAGCTTTCAATAGCTCATCAGAGATGTTCTCACCTTTTCGAATTTCTTTATTGTCTTGAAAGGTGTTAACTCCAGCCTTACATAAATCTTCATAGAGATGATCAGTAAAAGATTTTCGTGTCTCTCCACTAAAACTCAAGAAAACATCATACATCCAAGGAGTAGTAGAAGCGGAAGAAGAAAAAGAAGCCATTTTTGAAATTGATAATCTATCTTGATAAATGCGTGTGGAGACAGACGAAGCTATATATATATATATATATATATATATATATATATATATATATATATATATATATATATATATGCACATTTTTAATGTTTGTTTCGTAGGTGTTTTTGCCACTCTTGGTTTCTTGTTGGGCTACATAGATTGCATCAAATGAGTTGTTCAACAAGAAGGCCGGCCATATATATGCACATTTTTTAATGTTTTGTTTCGTAGGTATTTTGGCCACTCTTGTTTTATTGTTGGGGTACATAGGTTGTGCATCAAATGAGTTATTCTACAAGAACGCCGGCCATAATTATTCTCAAACACTGCATTTATATATATATATATATATATATATATATATATATATATATATATATATATATATATATATATATATATATATATATATATATATATATATATATATATATATATATATATATAGGGGTGATCCCATGTGGCCATGTTGTTAGGTGTGGTCAAATGGTCAATTATAGGCCATTAGATTAGATAGATCTGAATCATATTAATCAAGATTTTTCTAGTATTTTCGCGCACATTCTCCTACCCAGCGAACTGTAAGGGTAAACTCGTCATGAAACACCGGAATAGGGAAAATCACATTGTTGTGTGTTTTAATACACTATTGGTGCATGTTGTCAACACTGTTGGTGTATTCTGGAACCCGACCGCTATAAATAACCACTGTAATTACCATAACACGGGATACACCATTGGTGTGTTTCACTGTGGTGTGTTTTATTACACTATTGGTGCATGTTGTCAACACTGTTGGTGTATTCTGGAACCCGCCCGCTATAAATGGCCACTGTAATTACCATAACACCCCCACTTACCAAAATGCGCGAAAATCCCCAGAATTACCACTGCCGTTAGATTAAACTGATTCAACGACACAGATACGACCACACGACCACACCTAATGACATGACCACATATGAGCGCTCTTATATATATATATATATATATAAAAGGTTCAAATGTGGTTGGTGCGCCTAGGTGCGGTTGTACGATTAAATTTGAGCCATTGATCTTGCTCAAATCAACGCCCAAGATTATCAAAAATTAAAAAAAAAATGCGGTGTCAATTTAGTAATTTTTGCATCTAGGTCAGATTTAAGGTGCGTAGTTTTCCTTCTTAAGGTGTGTGGATTTTGTGCTTAAGGTGTGTGAGTTTTGTGCTTAAGGTGCATGAGTTTTGTGCTTAAGGTTCGTGAGTTGTGTGCTTAATGTGAGTAGTTGTTGAAACTTAAGCTGCATATGGTTTTTTTCTTTAGGTGCGTGGTTTTTGTGCTTAAGGTTCGAGAGTTTTGCGCTTAAGGTGTGTCATATTTCTCCTTCAAATTTGGAATAGAACAGAAGATTGCAGAGGGTAACGGGGCACTCATTGTCGTCCACCCTTCTCCCTTTGGAACTAAGGGGTCTGAGTCACGGGTCTCCAAGACCCCTAGCTCAGACCCTCAAGAACAAAACTTAAGTGCACCATTTTAACACTTATGGTGCGTTGTTCTAACACTTAAGGTGCGCCATGTTAATAATTAAGATACGTCAATCGCACAACCGCACGTGAATAGGGATGGCAACGGGGCGGGGCGGGGACGGGGAGTATACTCCCCGTCCCCATCCCCGCAACCTCGACTACGTCCCGTCCCCGACGGGAAATTGAAAAAATTCACCGTCCCAATCACCACGGGGAATTTGGCGGGGACGGGGAATCCCCATCCCCGATCAACCTATAATCAATGTGCGAAAGTAATACAATTTTAAAAATAAAAAACAAAAAAATTAGAATCCATAGTCAATATATTCTAATAATCTAACTAATCCAATATATACACATCCAATATTCACAGTGCATGCAATGAAATCAATATTCAATATATTCTAAATTTCAATTTATCCAATAGAGTTAGTACCTCCAATGGTCCTCCGAGTATTAGCCATATACCAGCTGTGGTCCTCCGACTTTTAAACGACCACGAAACGTTCTCCATCTTTTAAAAAATAACCACTTATGATCATCGGTTAAGTTTGGTGTCAAATAGACATTAAATGTGAAGACAAACATGTCATTTCACCTATATTCTTCTATACACCTTCTAATCAAGCCTCTAGTAGCAAGCTAACTTCAGGAACCGTCGTCGTCGTTTTTGGTTACGTGAGAATTCTCTGTACATGCTGTAACATGAAAAACTCAATTGATGAGATGATACCTGCTAGCTTTGATGAGATGATACCTGCTACTCTGCTAGCTGCTAACGACCGGGTTTTCTTCCCCCGACGACCTGCGAGAATTAAGGAGAGCCACGAAGGAGACGATGACGGCATAGTTGTTGATGCACATTGTGAGGATGGATTGGAAACGCGCTCTTCTCATTGATTTTGTCTGCGTAATCATCGCCGGTGTTAGAGGTCAGGCCCTGGCGGCCTCTCCCGCCACCACCCCGGCACTGTCAACTCCGACTATGCCCACTTCTTCTCCAGATCATCATTGCAGCTTTCTGCAACTTCTTTTTCTTTTTTCTCTCAATGATTTGTAGATGTTTTTTTTTTTTTTTTCCTTAAAATTCTGTCTCATACATTTGAAAGTAGATTCTTAATCTATATAGCCATAATAACAACCTCATGTTGATTCCACACAAGAGAAGATGCAGTTCATAGTGTACGGATCATACTATACGAACGATGTGAGCCTAGCATCAAGTCGAGCTAAAATGTCAGGATTGAATGTGTCATGGGAATCACCTCGTTGGTTGATATGTTGAGCACGACTTCCTCGCAAAGAGAAAGCAGACATCAAACAAGGTGTGGCGCACGGATGTCCACGAAGGTCCCACCGTCTCTCCTCCCTGTAATTCAAATTTGTGTATGAATTATATATATATATATATATATATATATATATATATATATATATATATATATATATATATATATATGATTCATATATGTATCAGCGCGTGTATATGAGCCATACGTACATGCAGGGCCGATCCTATCATTTTATAGGCACCTAACAGGATAAAAAATGGCCCCAGTTAATATATATTTCATGCCTAAAATTTAAATTAAATAAGAAAAAAATTATTAATATCAATAACTTTAAATAAGATTAACATGTTTTTAACAATTTTACATACACAACAATAATCATGAAAAAAAATTCTAGGTGCTTTAATTTCCTTAATGCAAAATAATAAATAATATTATAAGTGCCTTCATAAATAAATAATATTATATAGTTTATAAAAATGAATAAATAATTGAAAATCGAGTAAACTTATAAACAATAACATTGTTATATATCATAATAAATAATAAATTAATTATTATTAAAAAATTTATAAAACAATAATTAAAAACTTTGTGAAGCAAAAAATCTTTTTTTTTTTTTTTTTTTTTTTTTTTTTTTTTTTGACTAGGAGCAAGAAATTAAAATATTTCAAAACACAATAAAAAATACAAAAAGATATGAAACATAATTATCTAGATAAAATAGTTTGAACATAAAGCATATTATAAATCACACATCCTCTATATTATTTATATGATTTTTATAAATACTTTTTCTTTTAAATAGATAAAATTCAAACTTCTTTAGAATAATTTGAGTACAATGGCACATGATAGAAACTTCTATATTACATTGATTAGATATTCATAAAAAGGTACGGAGTAAATTTTTTTAATTTTTTTTTTTTATAATTCAATCTCAAAATATATCATATAACCCCTCCGTCCTATTTTTATGTGTCTTGTTTGGTTAACATGAGTTTATTGAAGTTTTTTTAATTCTATTTTTCATAATATGTTTAGTATAAGTATATAAAAATTTATAAATTTAGAAACTGCATTAAAAATCTAATATAAAAATTTATATATTTAATATAAAAAATTCATAATATGTTTAGTATAAATATATGAAAATTTATATATTTAAAAACTATATTAAAAATACTACTCCGTATTAAACACAAAAACTCAATAAAAATAAATTTTTAAAATATACATTAGAATATAAGCAAAGAAGTAAAGTTGAGGAATTCTAAAATGTGAAGGGAAGGATTGGATCACCGGCCTTTGATTATAAATGATGTTAAAATTCAAGTATCTTACCAACCAAACTAATTCACCTTACTTATACTTATGCTTGGGATGGGGCCCTCCCCCAAGCATGGGCCTGGGCAAGGACCCAGCCTGCCCTTGCCCCAGGGCCGGCCCTGCATACATGTATACTTTTAGATAGAGAGAGAGGTGCAGAATGCCTCCAAACGTATCTGCCGCTAGCTATGTCCAACGAAGGGACCGAGATAACCAATGGGTTTAATTTTGATTGGGTTTTGAGTTAATATAAGAGAAATGACATGTTTGTCCTCACATTTAACGTCTATTTGACACCAAACTTAACGGAGGACCATAAGTGGTTATTTTTTAAAAGATGGAAGACGTGTCGTGGTCGTTTAAAAGTCGGAGGACCACAGCTGGTATATGGCTAATACTCGGAGGACCATTGGAGGTATTAACTCTATTTTCATTTAATTGGTTGCTAGTCAAAACTACACTAATATCATTTAGAATTAATTATGATTTAGATGCACATTAAATTGATAAATTATCTTGACCATTGCTCATTTAATATTTAATGGATTGAATTAGTTCTTAGGTTCCTACCTAAATAGGGGTTCTTACTTGAAGCCAACCCTATATATGATTTTAATCACATAAGAACTATGTTTCTCATGAGTCTATGAGAACTCTTCTTGTCCTTTTAATCCATTTTGAGTTGATGGTGGGGAATATTCCTATTTTTATTTTTTATTTTTTAGGGGGGGGGGTGGGGGGGTGGTGGTGTCATTTATTTTGACTTTTTTTTTTCAATGGGATATTTACATGATTTTAGGAGTTTTATTTTAGGAAGATTAGGAGTGTTTTTTTGGGTTCCCTTTTACCGGTTA